ACCAAGCTGCCAAAAACAATGGAGATATTTTACAAATCCTTCTAAAATGCCTTTTTTGGGGCTCATTTAATGGGGAAACCAGATGGAAATCACCAAATGGCACTACGCTTTTTATGGCCTGCACTCATCCAGCAAGCCCATGGATTGAATTCAAGATTGCCCCCACTGCTTGTGGAAGGTCTGTGCCCCTGGAAGGTGCTTGTATGGAAGTGAGAGCTGGACCATAAAGAAGGCTGACCGCCAAAGAATTGATGCTTTTGAACTGTGGTGCTGGAGGAGACTCTTGAGAGTCCCCTGGACTGCAAGGAGAACAAACCTATCCATTTTGATGGAAATCAACCCTGAGCGCTCACTGGAAGGACAGATTCTGAAGCTGAGGCTCCAATCCTTTTGCCATCTCATGAGAAGAGAAGGCTCCCTGGAAAAGACCCTGATGTTGAGAAAGTGTGAAGGCAAGAAGAGAAGGGGACAACAGAGGATGAGATGGCTGGACAGTGTCACCAAAGCGACCAACATGAATTTGACCCAACTCCGGGAGGCAGTGGAAGACAGGAGGGCCTGGCCTGCTCTGATCCATGGGGTCACGAAGAGTCAGACATAACTTAATGACTAAACAAAAAACAAGTAACATCCTCCAGCACTGCACAGCTGACTGGATAGCTCAGTAGAGTAGTTTAGGCAGAGCCAGAGACACCTTCACTGTACCTCCTAAGGAAAGAGCCAGCCTGTGTAGCCTTGGGCAAGCTGCACAGTTCCAGTGCTGCCCCCCCAGAAGAAGGGAATGGCACACAATGTCTGAATATCCTCTAACTAGAAACAAACCCCTAGAAAAGGATGCCATAACCCTGAATCAACTTGACAGTATGCAAAGATTATAATTCCAGCACCGTGAAGACTTTTCAGTGGGGTACAAAGACTATGGAAGAAGCAATAGGGATGTTGGCTTCTTCCATCCCAGTTGCACACAGCTAAACCTAGATCCAGTCCCATGTCCATACATGACTGTGGGGTGGCAATGGTCACTTGGAACTTAAGATATGAAGAAACCAGTTAGAAGGGATTCTGGTTTATTTGCCGCATGCAGATGTTTGCATGAAGTGTTTGGATCCCTCCATCACACATGAAGGCATGGGTCTGATGACTGGTTGCATTTTAATCCCATCCCTCTCCCATAAAGCCACCCAGAGTGGTAGAATATACCCAATGGGCGGGATATAAATCGAACAAATAAATAAATAAATAAACCAGCATAATTAGAGTTAGGCTTGCAATATGGTTAGGGGCAGGAGTTTTCTTGACTTTCCCAAGGAAAGAAAGGCATCCTTAAATTTCTCAATGATGGCAGCTAAGCTAATAGGCGCAAAGGAAGAAGCCATAAAATCCTGAAAAGTAATAAAAATGAACAGTTCTGAACATGGAAATTTGATGCAGACACTATTCAACAGTATGTCAGAGGAGGAACCCCCAAAAGGAAGTGCCATTTCCTGGAAGCCTACTCAGGGTCAGTGTTGTGAATCAGAGTAGCACAAGGAGCCAGAGCATGACAAGGGAGTCAAAGCAGAAACTTCCACATCAGTCCCCTGTCTGCAGCCTGTCCAGGTGTAGAGGAGGCAAAACTATCTCAACTCTTAGGTGATGATGGCTGCAGAGGGACTACGCGCCAAGCAAACAGTCCTGTTCTGATTGGGCAAGAAGCCATTGCATGGGACCAATCACAGGGAAGGCTCCAGTTGCCAGCATCCGCACAGAAGCTAAGGAAGAGACCTCAGAGGAGAGGAAATGGACAGAGGTCCAATTTGGGTTTCTTGTCTCTTGATAAGAGCTCCCACCAGGAATTTACCAGCCGGAGGTCCTGATGGATGTCTCTTTTTTATTATTTTTTTTTTCCGGAGCCATAAACAGCATGACGGAAGGCCGTTGCCCTTTCCTTCCCTGGACTAGGATGGATTCCACCAGCATCAAACAAAACAAAACAGAACAAAAACATAAAGAAACAGCAGGGACTTGCGAGCATTTCCAATTAGGAATAAAGGCCTGGAATGTTTCTTGGAGGGCAAAAAGTCAGGGGCAGCCAGAGAAACTTAAATTTGTTTAGAGCAGCCAGAAATAAAATGTTTACAATGAGGAGGTCTCAAGGGGAATGAACCCCACTTGACACAGGCAGCAACCCCAGGATGTTGCAATTTCCAAAGAGATTGAAGAACATCAGGACCGGAGTATCCTAACTGTTTGCAAGTTTGCAAGGCACTCCACAATAGCTTTAGAAAAAAGATCCAACATCCTCATCCTCATCTTAGAACTACAGGGCTGGAAGGGACCCTATGGGTCATCAAGTCTAGCCCCTCTCAAGAAAGCCCAGTGGGGAATCGAACACCCAACCTCTGGCTCCATAGCCCAAGACCTAGACCACTAAGCTATCCAGATTGTTTCAACATCCAGCTGTTTGGGGAGAGAAATCCAGTGCCTAGGCTCCACCAGACAAATAAGAGCAAAAGCCAGCCAAGATGAGGAAAAGGAGGGAAGCAGTGTTGGGAGATCTTATAACCCCATCAGGCTATGCCTTTCCGCAGCCGCCCTTCAGAACCCACCCCACCAGACTAATACTAACCTGATAATTTTAATTACTTATGCCTAAGTTTTCCTGTTTTCCTCTTCCCTCCCCTCCCACATCTCCGTTTATGCTCTTCCCCAAGCCTACTGCGATGGGATAGTTTCGACTCCTGTCTTTTCAGATTGCAAATCTGGGGTTATTTTGTGTCATTGTTTTTCCATTATTTTTACTGCAAGGTGCGAGATAATATGTGGTGTTTCAAGAGCCTTGTCGGCTACAAAGAGAAATACAAATAGCTATCAATCAATCAGACAGACAGACAGAGCCTTATCAGATCAAATTGGAAGGTCTAACCTAGTCTTCTTCTTGTAAAACATGAAGGCATTCCCTCTCCCATTTCATTTGGCTGCCCTACAGCTGATAAGTCTGCAATGGTGCACAGCTCTGAAGAGTCACTATCATGTCTTGCAAAAGCAAATTCTATGAGATCATGGAGCACTGTGTACAAGACCTGTCCTATCATTAGGCAAGTGTGATTTAGCTTTTTGGGGTGTGTGTGGAAGGGGTGGAAACCAGTAGTGAGTTATTAGAGGACAGGGCACGTGACATATAGCCTGCTCTTGACCTAAACGCACCCACAACTCTCAGGTACAATGAAGAATGCCATCCCACAGTGGGTTGTGAGTTCAAATTCAGCTATCTATTGGGTTGCCTTCTCTGTCATACACTTTTGTGTGTCGCAGATGAGCCCTCAGTGTACCGGGGGGGGGGGACCCAACCATTTTGTTCCCTCTTTCCTGCTTCCTTGCCATTTTACAGGGCAATCCTAACAAGTAAATAAATAAAATAGATAGGCAAAATGTGTCCCTCTCATCCCCACTTCTGCGTAGCTTTCACACTTTATTTGAACCTCTACTATGTCTTCCTTCCCCCTTCGGTGGCTTCTCCCACTACAAGGGGAGGGAGGAGGGCATTTTCAGTTATGTCTAAGGAGGTATCTCACAAACATTTCAAGATACAGGTCAGAAGGTGGCAGCGGCTGCTCTAGATCCCCAACCGCCTTGTGTAACCACCCGGGAGGACCTCGCAGGCAGCAGGAGGAGACACAGAATGTGCTGAGAAAGGCATCGCCGCTCTGCTAGAGTCAAGGAGGTGCCCACTGGCAATTTACAGCCGTGCCGAAAATGCCTCTTCTTGAAGAATGCCTTTCCTCTTGACCCACTTTCCTGGCCTCCCTTGACCAAAACACGGATGCCAACGGGTGTTTCTCTCTTTCCCTCGCTCTCTTTCCTTCGCCCGCTGGGTGGCTGCGGAAAAGGAATTCCACGTATGCCAAGCACACAGCCCACGAGTTCCCCTTTTGCAACAGCCACGGAGCAAGCGGTGGGAGGGACCAAAGGCACACAGCCTCCCAACCCATGCTTTGCACCAGCAACAAGATCCCCAAGCCCGTGGCTTGCCAGCCCATGCCAAGAAAACCGAGGCAATGGGGAACATTGCTTTTTTCAGACTATAGCTTCCAGATGTCCACAGCCAGCATGGACACCGCTGGCCATGGAGCGCTGGCTAGTGTCGTAAAATCACATCTGATCCCAAGGATGGGGAGGAGAGTCACGTCTATTGCTCGCTGTGCTGTACAGATCAGAAACAGTCCGCACACAACTCTGCAAGCTTCTTGTAGGTCTCTCACCAAACACAAACAAGAGATGGTTGGTGGTCAGACTGCATCCTTGTGCAAAACTGAGGGAAGTTCCTTTTTTTGGGGGGGACAGCCAATTGCATGTTGCATGGGGAAAGTGCCCTCCCATAAAAGAATTTTGCTAAGCCCTGTCCTTTAAGGCAGGTGCATTTCTGAATGTTTCCCAAGAACAGACCTCCCTGGAGTTAAGTGCAATGTTAACTCCTGAGTAGATCTCTAGTAAAGATTCCAACCTGAAGGGGGTGGCATCTAAAACCAGGAGAGAGCACCAGGGTAACATCCAAGGCTCCAGTCATTCCTGTTTCCCCCCCCCCAAAAAAAACACACTGCCCTAAACTCCTTTTTTAAAAATCGCATTATTACAGCGCCTCCTGCTTGCGAATTAGCCGAAAGAGCTGAACTCCCAACAGGTTCGCCATCACCAGCTCCACCGGTTCCCTTCACGGCCCACTCTTCGTGGATTCGCTGCGCCAAGGACAGCAAAGCGGAGGGGAGCGCTCTTGAGGATCTGGAGGGCGGGTTCCATCCGAGGGCAGCAAAGTCGCCAGGCGTTCCGCCGGCCCTGCCAGGGCAGGAGCAGCGGGCAGACCCAAGGCCGCCAAGAGCGCGAAGCAGCAGCTCGGCCGGTCCGGCGTGGGGCCAGCCCGGTGCGCCGGGGTCTCCTTGCCCCGTCCCCCCTCCTCGGGCGTCCCCGTCCTCCCTACCCAGGTCCTTCCCCCCCCACACACACACACACTTCCAGCCACCCACCTGCTTGGTAAAGAGAATGGCCGTGTCCCAATATTCGGGGTGCTTGTCGTTGCCCTTGTTCCACTTTTTCTGCCAGACGCAGAAATTCCGCAGCGTGAGGGCGGCGTTTCCGGTCACTTTGGGCCCTTTGTCATCCTGCCCGATGACCAGGAACTTCACCACCGCCAGGTTGATGGGGTTCTGGATGCTGGGGTGCCGGTAAAGCCGGGCCGCCGTGGCCATCAAGGTGAGCAGGTAATGCTGAAGGTCGTCGCCATGGAACTTGGCCATGGACTCGTCGGCCACCACCAGCGTCTCCACGTACCTGGGGATGGAGACGAAGCGCTTGGCGCGCCCAACCCCGCCGCCGCCGCCGGCTTTC